TGGTCTACTTTATGTGTTCTGATATTTTTTATTCAAACATATAAACAGCACTTTAAGTAAGTCAATTTCGCTTATTTTGATTTGTTTTTTAATAAATTATTTTTAATAAATTGAAGTTATATAGGTTTTTTGCTAAATAATAATCAGCAAATTGAATCAGAATCATGTGTTGATTAATAATTAATAATTGAATTAATGATATAAAAAATTCTGAAATGCTGATAAAGGATCTTAAACTACTAATTGACCTGCAATTAGTTTCTTGTCTGAAATTGATCAATTCTTATTAGATGAAATGCATTGTTTTTAGCTTAACTCAAAAAACATTCAGGAATCAAAATTACTGGTAGTGAGCTATTTTCTGAAAATATACTGAAATCCACTTTTGAAAACGTTCATTTTTTAAGTTCAATGTTTAATTTAATGGTAAAATATTATAATATAACATAAGAAATGCTTAATTTTTGGAAACTGTTTGAAGAAGGTAAAGAAGATTCAATAATAATTCAGATTTTAATTGACAAATTTAGATGATGTTAAATTAGATCAGAAGTTTTTAGATCTATAGTATCAGCACGATATATGAATAATTTATTTGTTTTAACGAAATTTGTTATAAATGATGATAATGTTAATACTTATTTGAGACAGATTCAATATTTTTTATTCATACAGTTGATTTACCAAGTAGACTAATAAATACTATTTAGTTTATATTCAGTGATATGAATATGTAAGTTTAGCTAATATTAGATTTTATTTTAGCATTGATAACGAAGAAAGATTATACAATGTTGAGCTTTAGAATACTGGTTTTTATTTCAAAAGTCAGAATTGTATTATTTCAGTTTACAATATTCTCAGCAAATTCGTACTTGTAAAGTACAAGTTGTCAACTTGAAAAAATACTTAGAAATATTTAACTATAAATCCAGTTAACTGAAAATTTAACATTTACTAAATCGTGTTATAATTGGCATTAAATAAATTATTATAAGAATATTTATTTAAAAATTTTATTTATTGATTAAGTTTTTATTATATTATTGAATCTTTTAACGTCAAAATTTTGGCATAATATTATTTTTTCTTAACGTTAAAATTTGATATATTGAATTTTTTAATATAAAAATTTAGTAAAGATAACTGATTGACTATTAAACGTATAAGTTAAATTTTTGCTAAAGTTTGGTCAATACTTGATTTTAGCTGAAATTAAACTAGAATCTTTTATCAATTATTTAAAATTTAGTTGATTTATTATATAATCAAAAGTTTTTGATTTTAACCAGTACTTCAAAAGTATAGTTTTGTTTAAAAACAAGTCTATTTTATTAACAAAGAAGTCTTATTGCAGAAAAGTAATTTTATTATATAAAAAAATTTGTTTTATGATCTTGTGTTATTTTTGAAATTTGAGAAAAAAAATTCTTTTTATAAAGGGTAATAATTAATAGATAATGGTCAGTTAAGTAAAAAAAGAAAGAGTTGAGGATAAATGAAAAGTAGGAGTAAGATGATTGAAAAGGTATAATAGTATAGATGAAATAGAGATTGAAAATATTACTGTATTCCTCCAAAAATAAGCACTTTCTGAAAATAAGCACTATCTTGATTTTTAGTATCCAAAAATAAGCACTATTATATTTTTAGCATTCAAAAATAAAATAAATGTTAAAATAAACTGATTTATTAAAAATTTTATAAAATTCTCATCAATATTTCTTTCATCATTATTAATGATCACTATTATCATCACTACTACTATTATCGTCACTATTACCATTATCATTCACCACTAACACACCCAAAATTACTGCTAAATTATATTCATTTTCGCAAAAACTTTATTTTAATAGATTCTTTTATATAACACTTAAATGAAACGTGTTATAAATATAAAGCATTTATCATTTTTGCATAGCTTCTGAGATTGAAAATTTAGCAATTTTGTTAGTACCTGAAATTAAGCAACTCTATAGCAAAAAAAAGATGCTTAATTTCAGAGACATACGGTATATAAAAAGAATTGTTAAAGTCACCTATTAGTATTATATGAAAATTTAATCTAATACTATCAATAAGAATATCTAATAATTTTTTTAGATTTGTAAATAATATTTAAAGTTCTTTTTGTTTTTATATGAGATTGGTAAGTAAATTTGAATAATCTGAAGTTTAAATTTATTTTTGAATTGAAAATTAAGATAAATAATATAATTGAAAAATAAATTTTGATTAAAAAATATAAATATATAAATTATTTTGAATGAGAAGTCCTATACCTTAATAGTTTTATAAATGATTTGTCAAATAAAAAAAACTTAAAAGATTTATTATGTAAATTTTATTAAGATTATAAGATTATAAAAAGATAAAATGAGTTTTACTTAGGTCGAAGATATCTATATTAAATTTATTAAAAAAATAATTCAATATTTTATAAAGTAATATCAAAGAAACAATTCCTAATATTATGTATAACTAATAAAATTAAGTTTGAATTATTGATAATATTTATAAAAAATTGTTTAAAAAAGAATTATTAATATGAGAAGTTGTAGAAGACGCTCTTATATTTTGATTTTGAAGTCATATACTCATTTAAATAGATTAGAAATAATTTGAATAAGTTGCTGAATTTGATAGATAAATTCTTAATTTCAGATTGAGAATCAAAAAGGTAAAGTTCAAATTTGTTAATTTTATTTAAAGGACGAAAAATATTGATAGAATTTGAAAAAATTTTGAAATAAATAGCAAAAGGTTAGAAGGATTAACTATGTTATCAGGCAGTAAATCACCATCTTTTATTTTATTTGTAAAAGAGTGTTTTTCATAAATAATATTATTTATCAATTTTAAGATGGTTAAGCAATTATTTATATCTTCTTGGTTATTTTGAAAAATCAAAATTTCATTTTTAACATAAAAGACATTATTTAGTAATATGAAGATTTTGTTATTGATATCATCAAGTCATTTGAGAATGTCTTTTAAAGTATCAATAATAGCAAAAGAAGTGCTAGAATAAGAAGAATAGGTCTAGAATTATTATTTTTTAAATGCTTCAGTATATAATCTGTTAGATCTATTATTAGATATAATAGGATTAGAAGGTTGATTAAAGGGTTTACATGAAGATTTGTATACTGTAAGCTTAAAATAATCATAAAGTTATCTGTAGGGATTTGTTAGTTTTCAATAAATATAATCCTTAGCATCATTTTTGAATTATCACAATATTGATAATATGGGGTAGCAGAAATAATCTAATAAAAAATGTTAATATTGAATTTATGGTGAGATTGAAGGGCTGCTAAATAATTATTTTGAATAGCAAAATTAATATATACGTAAGAATGATTTCTGTATTATAAATCTCATAGAATAAAATAAAATTTAGCATTAATTGTAGCTAATAAATTTGAAAGGTCATATTGAGTTATATTGAAAGTTAAACCCATAAGTTTTAACTCAAATTGTTATCTTAGAATTGATTGAATTTGATTTAAATCTGTTGATTCAATTCTGACGATAAAGTCAAGAAAAAGTACAGATCATACGTTATCATAAAATTGCTTAGTTAAATCAAGTGAATCATAAACAATAAAGGTGATCTATTATAGGTCTCTGGTGATCATTAAAAATCAGATAATTATATCACATTGGTAAAAATTTTATATAATATCAGATTTTACAAAAAGAAGAATATCATTAATCCTAATATACCTTCTTTTTCAGTATTAATTCTTTATTTCTTTGCTATAGAATTATTGATCAAAATACATGATTATGTATGTTTCTTACACTTTTTTTCACTATATGATTAAGTTACTCAAATGAGTAAAAATAAATGAAGAATTTTCTAGATTTAGTATTATAAAAAACTTTTTGATAGCCTGAAAAGTTAATAAAGAGTTTGTTGGTAAATTTTTTTTAGCTATAGATTTTTTGTTGATATCTATTACATTATAAGATGCAACATATTGCATAAGAAGGTAATAATATTGAAAAAATTATTTTTTTTTCATTTTTTGCATTATTATTACATAATTAGCCAAGTTTGTTTTCATTATTTTCTACTTGATCAGCCTAAGAAGATTGCTTAGCTTTTTTTTATTGACAATGGAAGAAGATGTAACAACTGCATTATCTTTGTTATGAATATCTTTTACATGCATAGAAGTTCTAAGGTTCAAAGTTGATGGTTTGAAAATCAAAGTTTTATCATTAGTATCAATTTTCATTTTAAAATTTCAAGTGAAGAAGCGTCAAAAGTGACTAAAGCACCGATAGATATTTGTTGTAGGGTAGAAAGAGAAGGTTCAACAACTTTGAAAGAGTTGGTTAAAGTAACCATAATGTTGAGTTCTGAAGTATCAGTTTTTGTTTTTCTTAGTTTGAATCAAACTTTCTTCATTTGGATTTGTATAAGAAGTTTTATAAGATGCGCCAATGGTTTCTATAATATTATCTAATGGGTTTGGATTATTTTTATTGTAAGGTTCAGGTTGTTTTGCGTATTTACTGTTTCCTCTAATTACTGGACATTTTGAAAAAATGATCGTCAGAAAGAGTTGTCAAATTTGGTCCGAAACAATTGTAATGAATGCATTCAATTTAAAGTGATAAGAATCAAATCAACAAAAAGAAACGCCCGGGATATAAAAATCAGTTTCTAGAAAATACAAATGCAAATTTGATGTAATGTCTAATCCCCTGAAGCATCAATCACTTCTGAAAAATAATCAAAGGCATCACACCTCTCTGAGCACTCTGATTGGCTGTTTAACGCGTCACAAAGGTAACAATTAAATAAAAAAAGAATAAGTTGGAGTTCATGCATTATTAAATTATTTGAGTGATTTTAATTAAAATTAAATGCTTTATTTTTATGAAAAGGTTTTGTACAATTAAAAAAAAAAAAAAAATGAAGAAAGAAACCTATAATAGTTTGAAAATCTAAACGGTAAAGTTATAAATGACAAGGTGTTGAGTTATTTGCGTTGATTGGATTTAAAATTTCCAGAAATCGGGAAAATCATTCCGTCCCCATTAATAACGGCAGCAGCTTCTTTACGAGCTTCTGTCTCATTTTCATAAAAACCAATTAATCGACCACCCGATATTACGACGAAATAACTTGGATCTACATTGCGAAAATATCCCCCGCCAAGTGCTTTAAAAAATGCGATAGTATTTTTTGCCTTTGAAATTGCATCAAGATGATTGTTATCGTAAGATAATTCGGTTGGACTCGGAGGTTGGTTAGTGTCAATATTTTGTGAATTTGTAAGTATATTAGGGTTGTATGAGGAAGGTGATGGTTTATATGACCTTGTTATTTCTAATTTGACTTCGTCTGTCACGCGGATAGAGATGGAACGTGAAAAAAAAAAAATAATGTATTTATATATTATATTTATTTTAATATGGTTACGTGATAAAAATTTGATATAATATAATTGACTACGCCACCATGCTACAAATTGTGCCTTCTTACCTTTAAGATTGATGATGTCTTTGATTTCACACATTTCTTCTGTTTCTGTGTAGGTAATCAAATAAAATATTATTTTTATCGTTACCAATTTTTTTTTAAAAAAAAGGGAGGAAATTTCAACAACGATAAAATTTAATTGATTTAAACCTTGTAATTCTACTTCTGTACTTTCTTCTTTAAACGACAAGTATTCAAACTTTTCTCTAAATAAAGAATTTTACAGCGATTTCTTCAATAATTGATTTGGGTAGGAAGGAAATTTTTTATTTTTTGCTTTCGATTTGAAAATGATCCCTTATTCGAATCCTGAAATGAAAAATAAAAAAAAAAAGTGAAATGGAAGAGCATATTTTATGTTTATTTATTTGTTTTTTTCCTGAACTAAAAATAAAAAGGATTATGAAATCCTATGGAGCGCTCAAAATCGAGAATAGAAAAGACAAATGATCGATCTGTATCGCATAATTTCTATCATCTGGGTTACATAACAATTCTTTTTATGATTCGATGCGTAAATTGCCGAGATTTAAACAAAAAAAAAAAATGGGACAAAATGAATTTTATTGTCGTTTATCCTTGTTCTTCATTTGATCTTTTCTATCATTTACTAAAAGTGTTCCGATCACGATCAAGCTTGCTCCAATCCACCATTGAAGAGAAAGGATTTCTCCAAAGATAATATTTCCTAAAACCGCCTAACAATCAAAAATGACAAAATTTATTTTTTTTGTTGTTCAATGTTTCCGGGAAGATGGTTTTCTAAAAAAAAAAAAAAAAATTGGAATATTGTTTTTTTTTACGTTTTAAACATACTCACAGTCATGCAAAAGTTCGTCGCGGTGTTTAATACAGTGACCTGAAGAGATGATGACGACTTATTTAACGCTTTAGTGAAAAATGTCCACATCAAGGTGTTACATATAAAAATCGATCCAAAGCAACAAATGCGTAAGAATTTCACCTGTAAAGTTGATGATCGATCGAAATATGAACAAAATAATCAATCCATTGAATGAACAAATTACATCAAATGATACCCGTAACTTACCCGGATTGTCTCATTTAAAATATCTTCACAATTCTCATTCACAATCATATTACACAAATATTGCGCAACCACAAATGTCCGAGCATCGGTAAACAGCTTTGCAAATACTGAAGCCAATGCTGCAAATGTACCCGATAATATCGAAAAGGAAACAAAAGAATGAGATCTTACATTCATGATTTTGAGTGATTTCTTGAAAAAATTACCGAACTTGGAGACTTTAAATAAACAAATGTATCGTGATGATCCTTTTTGCCCCTAATCGGCATAGTACAGGTAACGTGATCATCCGCGATGTAAATCATAAAACATTTCCTTATTAATTTAATTTTTATTTTATTTTTCTAAACATAGATTAACTAAATTATGATAATGACCGATTATTCGAAATACATTTGTCTAAATTACATAATCTATACAACCGCTCCAATAACGATACGACTAATCTCTTCACTTGAAGATCGGACAGATAATTCCATCGTAACCCCTGAACTAGGAGAGTATGTCATTCGACTCTTTGCCAATACTTTTATATCGCTCAAAAATGTTCCAGAAAGCATCAAAGTGTGTAAGCTAGGTGAAGTTGGTGTTCCACTATTTTCAACAGGTCCCATTCCAAGAAGGTCAATTAAAGTGGTACAAGCAGCTAATGACGTAGATGATATATTTAGCTAGATTTATATAGTAAGATAGATAGAATGACGACATACCTTTCAAGCTTTTTGCTGCGGTTAAAGCAAATGTCTCTATTACTTGCCCTTCTTCTCCCATATTATCCCAAGTACTCTGGAAATCATTTATATAAGTGGGAAGGATGTAATCCCCAGTAACTATTTCAATATCCTCAACCTAATTAAAAAAATTACATTTTATGAATTAATAATACGCATATTATGGTTCGCGGATGAAAGAAAAGCGAATAATTTCCATACCAGGTATTCATCTTCATAGCCTTCGGCATCGGCTTCTCCGGTAGATGGATCACAATCTTTAACTAAAAACTTTAGAGTATTAGAAAAACTACAAAGAGGATAATCTTCGGGATTTGTTCTCTTAAAGGCAACGTATATTGACCCGGGTTGATCATACGGTAATTTTGGTGCTGGAATTACAAATTCCTCTACCAAAGAACCGTCATCTGATTCCGCCTGCATGACAATTGTAACATTTTCCAATAACTGATCATTTAATGTGTTAACCACAATAAACTATTTAAAAAGGATCGTTTAACCAAGAATTAGATATATTCCCTAATAAAGATAATCAAACATGAATATGACATTCCAATACCTGGAATACAATATGTTCATCAAACAAATGTTTGACGCAACTGACAGCATATTCTGTCTCGCTCTCTGTAAGCTCAACAGGCTTGACGCTGCTCTTGAATAAGGAACCAAATGCAGCAATCTCTGAAATCTTTTCGAGCTGATGAGCATAGACAACTTGTTGGTCTATACCTGGAGTAGGAGTAGCATCCCTACTTGTAGAGATAGTGGCTGCACTTGATGAGGCAACAGCGGATGATGAAATTCCAATGGTTTGCGTGGATACGAGGTCAAAGCTTCTGGATTTCAAATTCTCGGCCTCAGCTTGCGCTTTAGTGATCTTTGGCACAGCAGAAAGGTCAAACGGTTTTTCCGAAGCATCCTGATTACTGACATATTGTACAAGTTGTCTTTCAAGAGCAGCAAGCGAATACGTAGAATCTAATGAATTACAGTAAATTATAAGCGAAAAGTTCAACGTTTTCAACCTTATAGTAAAGCTTCCAACGCAAACTAACCATCTTTGACATATTTTTCAGCACTTTCTTCGTCATCCATGAGCTTCAAGTATAATGTAGCCCTGTCTCGAACTTCGTCGTCATTATCATCTAAACATCTGGGAAAGAAAGGAAAAAAAAAATAATAATATAAATCTAAATACATCATGATACTGATACAATGGGATTATTTTAAATAATAAAAAAAAAAGGCAACCCACCTTGTGAGCAACACCTTGATACTCTTTCTAACTTCCGAATCTTCCGCACTTACGCCAAATTTAGCAAGTGCGCTCACAGCAGCAGCTCTCACAATAGAATTTTCTAATATGACACGATTATATATATAGCGGATGAATTTTGTAGGAGTAGCTGTCTTTGGTCCTTCAACTCCAAGCAAATGAAGAACACGTACAGAAAGTTTGGTAAATTCACAATCTTCAATGAATTCACACAAATGAGCCAAGGCTACGTGATCCATGACGACCAAAAAAAAAGAATAGAAGGCTATTAAAATCCAATTCATATTGAAACAAGAACATGTTTATCGATACACCTACCAGCTTCTTTTGATTCTGGTATGAATTTAACTAGATCAAAGATAGCCTCAACTACTGCCCGTTTAAACTCGTAACCACCCTCATCTCTCAATACTCCAGATAAAAAGCTGAGCATTACCACTTGTTTGGTTGGAAATTTAAGGCATAAAGAACGTATCGCATCAACAACGATCACTTTGAATTCGTCTGAAATTTCAGACATAAATCCTGTGATTTGTTTCATTAAACGGTCAACGCTAGCCTCATTGCCCGTCTAAAGAATTTAATTATATGCAAGTTAATAAAAAAAATTTTTTATTTTTAAAAGAAAAAAAAAAAATTTGTGCAGAAATAAATTGCCTTTAACAAAGTTGTTATAGCAAAGGTTGCCACACTCCTATTTTGGTCGGTGATCAAATTTTCCATATCCAGATTACAAGGTTGAACGGCAGTTGGATGGGACATGGCCAACTTATTAAGCGTACGAATCGCAGCAAAACGAAGGGTGGACTTGGGTGAGGAAAGGAAAAGCTGTAAAACTGGGAAATTCCAGATTTATTAGGGAGGAAAAAAGAAAAAAGGGAAAATCTGCGAGTTAACTAACAAAATTCTTACCATTAACAGCTGGGTACAATTCTTTGCTAGTTACATCCTTGATATTACATATTGCTTTCGCTGCTTCGAAATTTACGATATCACTCTTGTGACGTAACCAACCCTCCAAAAGTTCAAACATTTGTTGACGCAAACTAGAAAATGCATATTAATACTTGATGTAGTTCAATATAAAATGTAATATCAATTTGACGTATAACAAAATTCTCACTTTGGATCTTCATCTAAAGTTTTGGCCGCGTATCTAATTAGCAAACAGTATGCAAACGGATTACGTAAAGTTCCACTAGAAGAACCAAAATTCCCTCTACTACTACCAGCCAATTGTTGAATCAATTTTGTTACGGCCATACGATCATGCTGTCGGATCATATACAAGAGACCTAGTGCATGATATTGGCTGATATTGCTTGTCGATGGCGTATTATATGAAGATCCACTTGAGGTGAATGACAAGTACGAAGAAGCGGTACCAACAAGTGATGTTGGCTTGGAATTGATAGCCTCATGAACCTCATTTGCCCATCGTTTGATAACATCTTTACCAGCGGGAAATAAATGATAACTAGAAACCATCGCGGCGGATGATATTGATGGGGTTTTGTCAACAATAGCGGCTTTGAGAAAACGTTCAACACTTGGAAGCATCGTCGCCTAAGTTTAGCACAAATTAATTAGAACAATCTATTTTTTTTTTTTTTGAATATATTAACTTTACAGGAAAAGAAATTGACACATTTAACATATTTACATCAATGATTTTACAAAGAGCTCTTATGGCATTTGCCCGATAGATGACTTCGGATTTAGGTTGCATATCCTTCATCAAACTGCTAGTGACCATGATAACATCTTCAGCAATGGTTGATAGCTCTTTTATTACCAAGTAAACCATTTGCCGAAGAGCGATCTAGAATTATAATAATCAAGGAGATAAAACAAAATAGGTTCACATTAAAATTTTAAAGAATTTATTGAGTGTCAACAATTTATTAAAAGCAAAAACTTCGATTTTATTCATTCGCGTAAAATGATCTTTTTTTTTTAAAAAAAAAAAATATTTGTTC